CGCGAAAGCAGTCCATTTCGCCGACACCAGGCAATTGTAGCAGGAATGTTCTCTGTGAACTGTCGGCATATTCCAAATAGAGTCATTGCCTCGAACTCGTCACAATTGGGCACAAATCTTGCCATTTTGTTGATGATGTTTCTGCCGACAGTCCTCCAGACAATCCGGGTGAAGTCACTTGAAGCTTTAAGATCAATAAACCTGTGTAAATAAACACGACCGTACATTGGATACATGGATTTTACATACGATATTATAAAAGAGAAATGCGACCACAACCGCAAAGCAACAAAGTCGGCTTAACGGGTCAAGAGATTTTCAGGCTTCAGCCAAAAGTTCTGATAAAGAAATTATGGAAACTTCGTTTACATGGGATTTTTTCTATTTTCAAAACTTCTGTTTCATAATTGGTATCATTTTGTGCCTTGAAAGATCGGCTACTTGAATGTGAAAAATCGAAAAAATTGATGTTTTCATCCAGAAAACGTTTACTGTAACCTTAACCTCACTCTGGTCTGCAGCTCAAAGTAAACTTCCAAAAAACGTCTTTAACTTTACGATAAGGTACCTCAACAACACACTAACCACAAGACACAACCTCTGCTTATGGAAAATTATCTCTTCGCCAGATTGTTCTTTCTGTCTTCTGCCTGAATCACTTTTTCAAGACCTTACTGGATGTAATAAATACCTTGAGCAAGGACGTTTTACTTGGAGACACGACACTGCCCTGCATTTCACTGCTTCTTACTTTCATTGTTTCCGGCATTTGTTCATATATGCTGACATTCTTGCTTTCTTATCACTGTTAGTTCCGTGCCGACATGATTATAAAGAGTAGCAAATAAGAAACATAGCAATATGCTGAGAATAAACAACAATAAATACACGTAAATCAGTGAAGGCTAATATTTCGCCCCGGTATACGGGGCTTCATCAGAGCAAAAGTTAACGGGCTAAAAATGTACACATTTAAAAGAGTGCTGACAGAAGATGAATTGTTGAAATGACAAATATGTAGTTGGTATAATTTCTATCCAACAACAAATATTGAATGATGATAATTAAATGGGCCTGTTTGAATTTTGAATGATGATAATTAAATGGCCTTGTTCATGTTTGAATTTTTAACTATAATTTCGGTGAAATCTTGTAACAATTAGCACATACCACTTTTTGGTACAAAGAAAATCTGATCACCAGAAATATCACGAGACATAATCTGTGTTCTTATGATCAGTTCTTTGGAATGATTCCATCGGGCATCATCATTTAAAATATTGTCAACCATAAGGCTGTTACCACGTGTATCTTTATTCCAAAGGTAATGGAAGATTTCACTTAATTGTTTATAAGCTAAATTTCTTTCAGTAGCAGGAGATTGAGAGATGTGTTGCATAGGATACTTCATGTAAACGAGAAAGCAGAATTGACAATTCATTTGTTTTTTCAATCAGAGACTGGAGAAAATATGGATGTCTTTAGTGGATTATGCATCATTTCTAAGTAAATGATTCTCTTGTCAGTTGTTTTTTACAAAGAAAAGTTAACGAAACCAGGCGCGGATCCAGACCGGTTAAACAGGTTTAAAAAAACCGGTCAAATTCTGAGAACTATTTTTCTCTGTAAATCTTGAATTTTATCTAAAATTTTAATTGCAACAATTTAGACAGGGAATTTTGCATAACAATCTAGCAAAATGGGTAAATTTTGCATAACAAACACATTTCACTTTATCTGGCACTTGAGATTACGTCAGGAAACCAAGTTTCAGTTATACAACTTGAATAGTTACAAAGTTACATTGCAAGACCCAATATAGGACTGAGTAGAAGAACCATAGTTTAAAAATTGCTTTGGTGAAATTTTTAAAGCTTTTTTGCATTCAATTTTATCCAGCACATCAAATAACGCCAGAAAAAAGTTTCAGTTTTATAACTTGCAATGTTATGGTGCTATACCGGAGCGAGGACTGGGTACCAGTACCCCAGTCCAAAAATAGCTTTTGGGGGCTTTTTTGAAGCTTGATATGAACTTCATCTTATTCAGCATATCGGATTGTGTATTTGTACCAAACTTCATACTATTATCATAATCAGGAAACTGGAGAAAGCAAGTTGCTTGACAAAACGAAATGTTTCCACAGCCATAACTTTTTGCTTATAGGTCAGACCACATTGCTCTTTGAAAATCTTTTGCTCAGTTTTGCATGTTCTTTCTGATAGTATCATCATATTTGAAAAATTCAAAAGTTGAGATTTTGCTGACCGTGCATTTTTCATGCTTCCGGAAACGCAACTTCCGGTCATTTGCTCAGAAATACTCCAGGAACCTTAGGAGGACAAGAACACACAATGCATAGAAACTTTCAAGAGGCTCTTGAAAACATATTACTATGAAAAAGCGTATAAATAGTGTCTAGGGGGGGGGGTTGAGTATAAGCATAAACATGAACATCTTTCTTCCATTGTAAACGAAAACATGCTTTTTATCTTATGTTTTTATTTATTCTTAATCTAAATTTTACATTGTAAATAGGAGTAAGACTGTAAAGCGCAACCAAGTATTTTTATATTGTGGCGCTATATACATTTTGCATTATTATTATTATTATTATTATTAGCTGTCCCTCCTGCCCTCTTCGAGGGGCAAGAAGTGCCCTGAAATATGATGACCTCTTTGACTACTCTCGTTATGTTAATATCTATTAGAATATACTAGAAGGATGATAACACTAGCACAAAAATGCAGAGAATGAAAAGTTTGTCTGTGACAAGGTCGGCCACAAGAGGGAGAGCGGCAAAGATAATAAATGATAAACAAAAAATGTGTTCCCTCAGAAGTACTCCAGGAACCTAAGGAGGATAAATCGGTATAAAAACGTAGCGGGCAATCAAAATTTTACAACCAGTCCATTTATAACAGCTATGGTTTTTATAAAACCAAATATTGTGAATAGTGAGTGACAAGGCCATTTAATAACCATTTTCATTTATGGATAATTTCGTCAACATTTTCTTTATGTTTAGAATCTTTGATGGTAGAAAACCCAGCTGTATGGGTGGCACATATTCAAGTTATTATTTTATTATATTACATTTATTATATTTTGTGAACAGTTTTTTTGCGGTACAGAATTTGAAAATGGCTTTGAAAAAAGCAAACATTTTACAACATACTTAAAGCTTTTTCGTCTGACACTCCTCAGAGCATAAAACGTCAGAATAGGTTCCGAAAAAACATGTTTGAAAAATATATACCCAGTTGTGGATCGAAATAGGCCAATCAGAAAAACGCAAGCACAAGACCGGTATAGTTGACCAATCAGTGCCGCGAGCCTAAAGAAAAATTACCAATGGAGTCCAAGAGAGAAAACTAACTCCTTTTGTCTACACAATGGCGGCTTTTTCGTTTTTATGTAGATTGACTCCAAAACTGCTAGATGGAAGGACGACCGGGCTCTGCCAATTATCCGAAACATGTCGTCATTATAGAGTTTTGCACAATCTGGGTTGTCCAAAAGATGTTGACCAATGGCAGAATCACTTGTTTTAACAGTGTTTCTCGACCTACAAGATCGAGGAGGCTGTTCTCTTTGAGGGGCAGTTTTGTTTCGTATGTTGGAAGGAACATGCTGTTTTATCCTATCCCCCAATCTTTGGGTTGTGCGCCCTACGTAGCCAGAATCACACTGGCACGTAAATTCATAAATGACGGAACTTTTTTGTTTGGTAGGGACGCAATCCTTTTGAATGGATGGAAGGGCTCTCCTAGTGCTGTAAACAATCCGAGGATTGACAGCAAAGAAACAATTGGTTATGGCTTGCCTAATCTGACTCTCGAATCGCAAGGAAGTGTTACCAATCCATGGTAGTTTCAAATAAACTGGGCACTTTTGCGGACCAAACTTTTGAACAGCCGAAAAACTTGCGACCTTCTCCTTAGTATAAGATAAAATGACGTCTTCAGGATAGCCGTTGTCCAAGAAGATCGTTTTGAGTTTTTCCAGTTCAGCG